CACAAAAACCCATAATCCATTATGGGATGATGAGAAATGGCGCTGGGCACCCTCACCAGTGCCATTTCTCATCATCCCATAATGGATTATGAGGTTTCAATTGCCAGATATAAATTAAATCAATATTGATATATTTTAGCAGCCCAACACAAAAACCCTAATAATCCATTATGGGATTAAGAAATTAATGATTATGAGGTTTTGAATGTTAGTGCCATTTCTAAGGCCTTGCCATAATCACCCTTCGAAATGGCACTGGTGGGGGTGACCAGTGCCATTTCTTTGTAAAGATTTAGATAGGCTGCCATTTCTAAGGCCTTAGATGGTTGCCGGGTGAAATCCCATAGTGGATTATGAGTTTCTTGGTTGCTGGATGATAATCCCATAATGAGTTTTTTGGTTGCCAGGTGAATCCCATAATGGTTTAATGGTTTGGTGGCTTTGTGTACCATTTCCCAGGGCTGACAGAGCCGGCAGACTACAAAGTTATATGTTGGCAAATCTTCAATTTCATCCCATCATGGCCGGCAGACTACAAAGTTATATGTTGGCAAATCTTCAATTTCATCCCATCATGGATTATGACTACTAGGCAAGCTTCAAGCCAAACTCATTTCTTGGGATGTTATTTTCTAAATGATATCTGTGTTTGGCTGCGATCTTTTTCAACACCAAAGCACACTACCCCTACTGATGCTTGATGGACTGATGTCACATCTTGATGCCAACCTCACAAATTTATATGCTCCAGCTCCAGCATCGTGGCTTTTGGTGAGTTTTTTTTGCCGCGGATCTCTGCTCTTTCATCTTGTCTTTGCGCTTGGCTTTACGTGCTTCCAGAGCTGCCTCACTGCGCCGGCGGGGATTGTTCCGGTTGTCAACATGGAACACAGGATAATGAGCATCCCCACATGAAGGCCTGTCTCCAAGATCAGCAGCCGTCAACCGTCCAGGGCCTTTTGAAACGCGCGCAGCCCACTCAGGGGAACCAACGTACGCCAGCACGAAGGCAACTTGGCAGTCACTCTCCTTGCTTGGTTCCACAACCTGGAATGTAATGTTCTTGCCGGTCTTCTGAATGGCATTGCGGATATACACTATCTAGATACAGTATCTAGGTACATACACTCATATATGGGTGTTTCTATACAAAATACTGATATCCGAAGCCTGGTTGTTTTGTTTTTAAAGGACTGATCAACTAAAAAGCTTCCAGCATCAATATTTAGACATATTTTTTATAGTTTGTTGTTTCATTCCATGATTACATTGTGGATATGTGTTTATCAAGCAAACAGCCTTGATATAAGGCTGAGACTCTGTGCAGGTCTTGCAATGAGAGACTCAGTGGTGGAACCTTAGTTTGTTTTTGTGATGGCCTCAGTTTGGTGCATCCTTAGTTTGCAGAATCACAGTCCTAGGGCCAACTTATGGTCTGATCAACTTTGAACAAACACAGTATCAGTCTATACAATTACAAAATAGAACTATATTCTTATAGTTTAAAATATGATCACTTCAAAAGGGCACCTGTGCTATTGCATGTACATGCATGTTCTACAGTGCATCATACTTTTTGAAACTATCCATCAAAAGTAATATGTATATACATAGTATGCTATGTTTCCTTTCAAGCCCTGGAAATTATCCAAAAGTTGTCACAGAATACATACTACCAAGCCTTGGCATAAACATGTATACTTTTGAGCAAATTAAAGTAGATCAAAGATGGACCATTAGGTTGCTGACAGTAGATTAAACATTGGCAATGACCTTGAACCTGGTTTTCCTTAGGTGAAAGCCTGCCCATGGTTAAACAGTGATGCACTCACAAGCACTTCACTCACAAGCAAGCACATTCTGAAAAATGTGTGGACAATAACACCGTGCACTCTTTTGGACAAAAAACTGTGGGTTGATCGGATGAGTGAATATATGTGTGGGTGGGCTGTATGAAGAAGTGAATGTGTGGATGGTTGGTTGAACAGAGATGCTATGAGAACTGCTGCTGGGATGGAAGGGCAAATGGTGGTGGGAAGGGCTGGAAGTTCGATTGAGGGGCTCAATGAATGTTGAAAACTTGTTGGACTTCAATTGAATGGGATTGGAATGTATATATTGCAGTGAGTGATGTTTGGTTGGCATGAATTTTCCTTTCAGACCTAAATAGGTTGCTACCATGAAACGGGCCAGACTGAATTCAATCCGTGGTTGTTCCTAAGCTTGCCACAAGTGCGATTACCTCAGTGTGCCTTAGTGTGACCCTTAGCCCACACATATGCATTATTTCCTGCATGGCCGTGAGTTGGCTTAAGATGAATGAAGTGGATGTTTGAAGCCAAATTCTGAATCCAGTTTTTTTGCCACAAACACTGAGGTTTGGAGAGCTCATTAATAACTAATCTTCAGCTTGCATACACAAAGAAATATAAACTGAGAGCATCAATGGGGAGCTTGGCAAATTGACAGGACAAAATGAATTGATGACTAGAAAAGTGTGAATGAAGCTCGAATCAAGGGTGCAATGAGGCAATGTGTGACTGGTGATTGAGAAAGGAGTGTGTGGTGCTGAGGTGTGGCCAGGAAATCTTGAAGATAGAAATAATAGATGGGGTGGGCTTGGAAGGAAATGGCATGAGTTGCAATGGAGTGAAAATCAATACCCAAACATGAAACAACCACCATGACAGTGTTTGACACCTAGTCCGTGTTCAACTTGACAACTGGTTTTGTGGGCGATGACCTTAGCATGCCTTAGTGTGAGCCTTAGTCCAGAGTCATGCACTCTTTCCTGACTGAACTTAGCCCTTTCCAAATTTGACTCTGAGAAGTGTGAGTGGTTGCATGCAACTGAAGAAAAGAAAGTATATATATCCAGAGCTGGCACTTTGTTTATTTCTTATAATATATTATATATTGTTGAACTGAACAGTAGTTTTTTGATGGTATTTTCAAAGAAACTCCAAAGTCCTGGATATTCCCAAAGACCTTGGCTGTAGATATTTATCCAGCCTGGAAGTATGAGTCCTGCATATGTGCAAGGACTGAAACTAAGTGCTCCACTGGTGTTGCCCCTCCCCCCCCAAAAAAAAGAAGCACCTGTTCGGTGCTATCCACCTATTCGGTGGAAAGTTTAAAAAAATTGCCTTCTTGAAGTTGAAGATGTCTAGTTCCTTAGTGGCCTTAGTATTGCTTCATTCCTGACAGGGCCTGACAGACAGGTGCGTCTCAAAACTGTTTCTGTTTACTTGCAAAATCAAACATATCAATACATTTACTCAAAGAAACTCACACAAAGCAAGATCATGGATGTAAAATGCCAAACTACATTTAGCTTAATTTACAATGTCTACAATTTTTTTTGCTCACAAAGAAGTTGCTACAACCTAGATCAGACAACCTAGATCAGTAAAAAATATATGCCAAACTCTCTGACTGATGACTTGGTCCAATTTGCCTAGTGTCAGGCTTTAAGTAGCACGACCCACCCCCGCCCCTGTTTTGGCTTGACACCTCAAATTTACATTGCTGCAAAGAAACACCATCATGAAGCAACTCAGGGTGTTCAGGAACTCCACCATAAGTTACAGATATGTGGTTTAAGACTCATAACAAGAAAAAATGAAACTATCACAATCAAAGACCAAACTATCACAATCAATGATCATGGGTTGATTTCATCAAGTTCCTTCCTTGAATAGTGGAGGGCTGTGTGGGAAATTGTGGGAATGCATGGTTACATTATGTTACATTCTCACTGGGCAACTGTTTGAAGGGAGCTGCAGAATTTGGATCATCAGCAAACCCAAAACCCAAACGAAAGTCTTCTCTGTTCCTCCCGAATCCTCCCGCTTTCGGGGCGAGACTCGGCGAGACATTCACGTGGAGCATGGGACCAAACCGGTTCACGTGGACAAGCGTGTGCCATTGGTTTTTCGTTCGGAACCACCGAAGGACGACTGAGGATTTTTGGGCTCAAGACCTTGTTTTTCGGTCGCCGATGATGGAACGACCACGCTGGGGGATCCTTGGTGCTGGGAACATTTGCAATGACTTCGCAGCGGGCGGCTCGATGAAAAAGCATGGATCAACACGGGTGGGGTGTGGTCTAAAACGGTACTGCAAAACCGCGCGATTGGTCATAACTTTGCGGTTGTTTTATGAGAGTTCATTTTTTTTATATTTATAGTCAATATAGTGCTTCATCGCTTGGCTGAAATCCCAACCGCATCATCCCCCGTTTTGGAGCCCTGGCCTCGGATTATATAGGATGCGGTTCCACATCCTCATAGAAGCAACATAGTCCGAAGCAAGATGGTATAAGTATAATATATATATATAATATATGGTGATGATGCCTGTACCATCATACTAGGTCAGTCTAGGCATCTCCAAGTTTCGCAAAAGGCCTTTTGGCTCGAAGAAGCACCTTTCACTTTCAGCGTGCCGACACCCCAGGTGTTGTGACTGCGGGCGGCTCCATCTCTGCGGTCGGTGCCAGCTCGCTGTCGAAAGCGCAGGCGCTCGCCGACAAGGTGAAAGCCTCCCGAGCCGTGGTCGACTTCGTGGGGAGAAACACGTGGGGAGGCGGTTCGTGGCACTTGTCCAGGAGTTTTCGGGGTTTCCACAAGCTGTGCTATTCTACCGTTGTTTGCTGGAATTGATGGTCGGTCTTGTGCTCGGCATGTTTCACGATTCCGTTTCCAAGGCGCTCTCATTCCCAGCCATTGGGACGGGAATGGGTCAAAACCAACATGCACGCTACGTTGTTCAACCATACTGTTGCTCGGACTTTGCACTTTCCTTTAGTCAAGGTCTAACTTGCAGTAATTTTAAAGGGCTAATGCACTCCGCGAAGCAGCCTGAAATCGCGCTCCACGGAGCAACCTTCTCAAGTGTGTGATTTCTCAACTTCCCCAGCTTTGACCACCAAGGGGGTGCCTTTGGGGGCAGAAGGTTCCAGGAATTTTGAAGATCCATCAACAAACTGACCTGGTTCGAAGTGACCGTTGAATCCGATCCAAAGACTGTCACTTTGCAGAGCAGGTGACCTTTGATTCGTTGTAGTTGTATATTTGCAACCACACTCCCACGCAAGAGTGAGGAGGCCATTGCGTTTCGGTTTCGGTATTGTATATCTCCAGAAGTATCTCCAGATTGATGCCACACCGATGTGCGTCATAACCTCACGATCCACAGGGAGGGAGGGAAGCAATTTAATTGGCTGCCGTGGCCCATCGACCCTTTAGTCCTCTACTTGGCTCTACCCACCAAAGATGCGAAAGATGCAAGTGGATGGCTTGCCGCATTGCCACTCTCTTTTGGGGCGGGTTTCGCAGGCGGTGAAATTCTGTTTGGACATGATTGGACTCTGAAGAAACTAAGGAGCTGTTGGGTCGTATGAAGAGCTCGTGGCAGATCCTGACGTGGATGTCGTCTATGTGGGCACCATCCATACCATGCATTTGCCACATGCCAGGCTGGTGTCCTGGCAGTTCACCCTCAGAGTAACTAGAGGTAGAACACAAGTAACCAAGCTGTGGAAAGAGGTATCAATCCTACTGCTGATTGAAGATATTGAAGACCTCGATGCTAGCACAATCCTGGGAATCTTCCAAAACGCGGCAGGACTTCTTGCTGCCACAGTGCGTCAATCGAATCCCTGGTTCCGTGGTCACTGACTGGGAAGCACCACATTGGTGTCCGCAAGCACCCATCTCGAGCTCCATGTGTCACCCACGTTTTCGACCTGTTTCGACATCGACCACGGGGTCCGAGTCGGATCAGCACACACCATCGACGAATCGACAGAGACGTCAACACCATCGATCGTCGTGGAGAGTCTCATGCACTTGTCGGATGTCTTCTTGATTTGATTTGTTTGTCTGTCATGTCCATCTTCTTGTGTTTTGTTTATGTGTTTGTTCATGTTTGTTCTTTTTCTTTTTGTTTGTCTTGCTGGTAGGTGTGTTTCTTGGCTTTTGTCTTCACCCTTACTTCCAGGGAGGCCTCCCTGGGCCGAAGCAAGGGCGAACGTCGACGTCCACCGCCTCGCGACCTGGTGACCTGATGGGTTCACCAGATGGGTTAGCAGCGAGTCAAAGTCAAAGCATGTCAAACCACACATTGGCACCCGGGGATGCGGACAAAAGCTAAAAAAGCAGCTTTGGCTTTAAACTATGCTTACACTTCCTGATACAAGTCATGGAAGTGAATGGCATGACTCCTTGGATGACCATTTTCCGATCACCAACCAGGTGGTTACCACTTCACTTTCATGATTCGTTCAGGGAGTGAAATGTTTCGTTAGATGGTGAAGTTCCTGTCACCCCTGTGCCTCAAAAAGCCCCTCCAGCTTTTTCCTGTCATCGTTCCAGAACGAGCAGGATGGCCTTGAATGCCGGCAAGCATGTGGTGTGTGAAAAGCCCTTGGCCGTCAATGAGAAGGAGGCCCAAGAGCTGGTCGACTTGGCAAGGGCACCTCGGCCGGCATCTGGCCGGTCGCGCAGTTGTGGCGCTTTGGAGCGTTCTCGGCCGTGGTGTTACCAGGCGTTCGCCCGCGTCATTCTCCGGAAATTAAAGAGGCCGAGTGGGATTCCATCCGATGCTGATGCATCGGCTAGTGCTGTAAGATGTAGGCTTTGGCTTGATGACGGGATGACAGGATGACGGGAAGTCTGTTTGGAATCTTGAAGCGGAACTTCGATTCTAAGGTGACTTACAGTACTGTTAAGTGATACGAAAATTCTGAACCCAGACACTCCACGGGACTGGCATAGCTAAACTGTCCACTTTTCACCAACCCCTGTCAACTTAGCAAAATATGACGGTCCCAATTTGTTGTGTTTGTGTAAGTGAACATCACTTGGAAAGAAACCTGGGTGGAAATGATGGCGGGATATGCAGATGAAAAGTCTGCATGTCATGACAGGTTTTATTCCTGGGCTGGATGTAGCTTCTCGGAACCAGGATCTGAGACAGGTGATCATGCAACGAAGAAACACCGCCAGAATCCAAGGCAGGACCTGGGCCTCGTCGCTTTCCAGGTCGTGCTTCGAGTAGTGCTTCGGATTCCACTCGAAAACTAACCACATCTAAAAGGCACATCTTGGACCTTGGAGTCTTGGAAGTGGTCATACATCTTGGTCATCTTGTATTGGGTCATCATTTACTGTAGGTCATCTAACCACGTCATACATTAAAATGGAATGATGACCCAAGATGTCTTAGTCATTCTTGATGTTCTGATATGTTCTGTTCTTGAGGCCAAGGGCCTCTTCCTCATGGAAGCCATGTGGACCCGATTCTTCCCTGTGACCCGCCGCTGGGATGCAAAGCCAAGAAACGCTTCGTTTTTTTCCTGTTTTCGGGGGTCAAGGCCGAGGGGTTTGGCCCCAACACCTACGGTTTTAGTCACCAAACAGTGCTTCCTTTGGCTGCATTTAGTTTTGGGAATCCCTTCATCTATATATTGAGAGAATGCCTAGACGCACCTGGGGCAAAAAGTTCTGTCTCAGTCCAATTTGCCTGGGAGGGTTGGCGGATTAGGGCAAAGCCGCATCGGGTAGGAATACGTGCGGCCGGCAGTGAATTTTTTGCGACCAAATCCTTCCAAAAGCCCACTGCCACTCCCCAAAAGCCACCAGGTTCTCTAGATCTTACACCCCTGTACCAATTAAGAGCAATTTTGACCATTGTGGATTCATGAATCTGACATTTAACGAAACGGCTTCAACGTATGTAACAACCCTTCAAAAGCAATGATTGGAAATTCTGCCTTTTACCAGGAAATCTATTTTTTTCCTGGTTCTATACTTCCTGCTTTTAATTTCTCTCGTATTTCAGGTGTCCACTTGCCGCTTCCACATTTGTTTGGGAAGCTGAACATGTCGACCGATTATCCCGATTCATCAAACTTCCAAGCCATTGAGCTGGTAATTTCTCTCACGAAACACGGTTGGGCATAGATGTTGTATCTAGCTTTGACGTAGGGTTGTTCAAAAATCGGATGAGGCTTTTTGGCTATTGGGGCCTTTGCTTGGATTCCCGTGCCAGATGCCTCACGACCGCAGTCGTTGCTTGGTTGTTCGTGCATGCGAAAAGACTTAATTACCTCTTCTGGAGTCGGTTCCTTTCCTGGCGGTAGCCCCATGGCGGAAAAAAGTCGCGAGAAAAAGAAAAGGGATACTGTTAGTGCTCAAAACCTGCTTGTGCTGCTTGACATGAAGCCCCCAAGCTTCCATAAGGGGGGGGGGAGGAGCCTGGCAGCCGGCTGCCCCGCCCAGCCGCGCCGAAGGAAAAGTCCAAGAGATTCTGGCCAGTGGCGAGTTGGGTGCGCCGAAATCCGTGCGCCTCGGCACTCAAGGAAGGCTGCAGGGAAGGGAAGGGAGTGCGAAAACATGCTGGAGGGGTAGGGGCTAAAGCTTCAGGCAATGGGTCAGGATTTGGATGTCATTGGATCGTGTCGGGAGTTGCAGGTCAAGCGTTTATCAAAAGGGGGTAAGATATTGGCGTGCATTTCTATTGGGAGGTCCCTAACCAATATGGGTCTTGGTCTTTGGTTTATTTCCCTTCTAGGGTCTCTATCTTAATCCACACCCATATTCAGTTGTGTTGACTCGTGTTGACTCAAAAGCCTGGGCAAAGACGACCTTCCAAGAACTGGTTTCAGACATCTCCACCGAGTGGGTGCAAAAGGGGATGTCGTCCTCCACCGGACGTGCCTTTCTTAGGGTTTCTTGGTATCCTGGCAGCTCCTGCCTGTTCAATGCCAGGCACGGCACACATGATCTCAAGGAAGAGACCGGATGCACAGGCCAATATTGGTGCGTACACTATACACAGGTGTGTTGAATGGGAAGGTGCAATTGACGATTGGCTGGCTGGCTTGCTCCTTCCTGGTGCTTGAGGCCAATGAAGCAATAAGAGTCACAGCAGACATGGTTAGGGTGTGAGCATGCCACAACTGGCCAGGTGATTGCCATGTCCAATACAGGTCTCGTCAGCGCCCTCAGTCCACATGTGACCTCCATTCCCACGCCCCGTCTTCCGTCTTCCGGGCCGCCGTGGCGCTTGAGCCCGCCACCCCGAGGCAAGCCGATTTCGGGTTCATTGGACCGATGGAGGATAAGAACCATCGCTTATGGGATCTGAATTGTGCTGGAGGGGCCATGCAGCTTGACGTGGAACGTGGCGTTCGCGTTCCCCGCCCTTGGAGAGGTAGTTGGTCCAAACCGGTATTTTTGGCAGGAATTTCTCAGGACCTGTTTTGAGGGAGATGTGATTGTTGGTGGTTATGTGGTGCCTGGTGAGCTGCTAAGCTTCTTGTTGAGTCATGCCGATTTATACTATTTTGCTGCCTATGAGCCAGGGGATAGGCTTTGAGGATATCTCACGTGGCGGGAATGCCGTCCGCACCATCAGATACTGACACAAATGAGTGATAGAGTTAAGTATTGCTCCTTCAAACCGACCTGCCCCAAGCCTCAAGGGGGGTTCCAACATCACATTGCTGCTCACTTGCCGCATCACTGTGATCACTTGAGGTTAGATATTGGCATTTACTTAGTGCAGCTGGCGACCATGGTCTTCGGAGCATCCATGCCATCGGTTCAGAGCACTGCGTTGCTGACCCCTGAAGGGGTAGACCATGAAGGAGCGCTCTCCCTTTGCTGGAGCGACAAAGGCGCCACCGGGCGGCTGGGACTGATGCGGGCATTGTTAGTGGAGGGTAGCCGGGTAGCTGCATGGTACACCGCAACAGGTACGGAATTACGGCACCACACTTCCAGAGGTAGATAGGGGTATATAGAAGGAATATGTTTGATGAAGACTGGATTTTATGCTTGTGGCAAGTGGCGTTAAAGTACTTTTGTGGCCTTGCGTGTATCCGCGGCTTTAGCCAACAGAATCTCACAAAGAAAGCCGTGATATATTTCATTGCCCCTTGAGTTCTCACCGCGAGTCCCCAGCACTTTCCCACTATGCCAACTATGCTTTTGGTTGGATGCTGGCTTACACGCTCACTATCAGCAGGCACGGGAGATTTCATATCCAGCCTGAATTATCTGACTACAGGGTCAAGGGGTGAGATAGGGATGAGATGCAGGTGGATGGCTATGCTACATTCCGATACATTCCCTTTGACAAGCTGAGCCACCAAAAAAAAGGTGTAAAAAGTAACCCACCGGCAAACGGCCTCATCGTTTGGAATGGCCAGGCTCGGCCAGTCTTTTGTTCACCCTACGTGCGACCACCCCGGAGCACGCGGTGATTATGTGCGAGAAGGGCTATATCCGGCTCCATGGGCCTGCGCACACTCCGGAGCGCATGACTGTGTTCAAATCCAGTGGCGTACGAGGCAAGTTTGAGGAGCAAGACTTCGATTTCCCCCTGCCACAGTTGAGACACTTGGTGATTAGGTCCAAGATGCGGCATCCTTTAATCACTTTAGTCCGTCCTAGAAGAGGCTTCCTTTGTTCACTTGCTCTTCCAAAAGGGTCCAGCATCGCCTCCCGTCTCCAACCCAAAGTCGGACGGTCATGGACGGTGCTCAGGACCAGGGCTCACAGTGATCTACCCCTCCTCCGAGGGAATGATGTATCAAGTCCTGGCGGCGGAGAAATGCTTGAAGGAGCAGAAGCTGGAATGTCCCGAGTATCCCTTGGAGGAGACGGGAGAAATGACACCGGAGAATTGAGAGAATCCATAGCCATAGAATATATATCGAATCCTCTCAAAATACAACGGACTCCAGCGCAGCCATGAGGACTTCCAGCCATGCAGTGGAGGGTAGGGACAAAACACAACATAACACAACCGTCCAAGGCTCCAAGGATAGATGTTTGTTCTTGGTGCCGCAGACCACCACCACCGCCGCCACCACCACCACCACCACCACTTTTCGGACAAAGCCATCCAGTGGAGGATGGGGACACTTCTTGAGGAGCGTGATCAAACTAAGTGTGGAAGTATATGCAACATATCGATGATGAATGTCTTGCTATATATGCAACACATAGAAGTGTCGAAGGATGTCGGATGTACTCTGGACTCTCAGTTTGGGTCGGAAACCAAGCCACCCCAACCACGACCTCACCCACATATGACATTCAGTTCCTGTGCTTTCCTGGTTTGCTCCCATCCCATTCCGGTGCAGCGCTGGTGGTGGAGCGCTGGGCATGTCTCCGTTTGCTATGTTTTTTGTTGTTTGTAATTCTCAGCACAGCACTGAAGTAGATTGCGATAGGTTGTGTTAGACTTGGAAATAGCCAACGGAGAGAACCGCCAACCGCCAACTAGTGCTATACTGGCGGAATCCTCATATTTTATTTAGATGGTGACCTCGTCGCAGTTGTTTAAAGACCTCGTCTCAGGCTTCATTTTTCATCCAGTCTCAGGAGAGCCTTACCGTGATGCGGATCATGGATGCCTACCGACGCCAGGTAGGTGTGACCTATCCCTCAGAATCCACCTGCACGGTCTCCTGAGCTTTGCAGGTCGAGCCGCGAGCTGCTCGTTCGTTTGCAAAGACCACGTGGAAAAGAGATACAAAATGCGGTCCTCAAGAAGATGAGGAGCAGAAAAAAGATACATTACATATTGAAACTATTACGTATACACCCGGGAAAATTAACATGGAACCTGAAAAACACTGCGTTGCAGAGGAAAATAGTCTTCCAATGGTTCATTTTCAGGTTCCATGTTAATCTTCCAGGGTGTAAATATTGAAACTCTGCATAGTTGAGACTTTTCATGGGAAAACCCTTTCGAGCAGGTGATCTACGGCACGCGGCACATGTTTTTGGGTAGCTCGCCTGGACATTTCAATAACTGCTCAGTGAGCACTGCCAATGACTCAAATGTCGCGCATTGACAAGTACAGTGGTGTTAGAGTAGAATAGAGTAGATGGCACAGACCCCAAGATCTCCTTCAGATGGGGTCCCATATAAACCACCAAACTTGGGGTAACTTGTGCCATCTATATACTCTCCATCCACAAGTCCGACTGGCCTTAAAGGACCTTCGTCCGCTGCCGTTCCTCACGTACCGCATAGGGCACGAACCTCGTCCTCACCATGGCTGCTCTAGGTCCATTTGGGCCGCTTGGATCAACTATGCGGTGAAGTCCTGAGGACATAGGTCCTCAATGTAGACTCTTGAATAACCCCCCAAGCTTGAAGATTTGGGGGGCTTTCTAGTCAAGAGTCTACATCTCAAAAGGTTAATTACCCATATTTACCCAGGTGACCATTCTCGAAGGATGCTTAGGGGTGGGGTTGGGACTTAATTGATGGAGGGGCGCTCCAGGTGACCTCTGTTTCTAGGAGATTTAGTGGGTTTGAACATGTTTGGAGACTCTAAGTCCCTTGTGAGGAGGTACTTGGAGTTCTTTGGGATGGTTTACATGCCTGAAGCGGCACGCAATGGCACGCATGGATGTTTGAATTCATGCACTTTGATTACTGTAGTCAACCCAACATTTGGACATCAGTTGGAGATTGACAGGCCCTCCAGATGTTAGTGATGCTGATCTCCCAATGGTTTTCCAATGGCCCAGGAGCGTCTCGGAACAGCAAACTGCTTCGAGCAGACGGAGCCCTGTTCGAGCAGACGGAGCAGGAGGACAGGCCTTCACAGGCGTTCGGATCATTGGTTCAGCCGAAAATCATGGGCACTGGCCGCCAGGTGAGGAGAGATGACCTACCAGTAGCAGTACCAGTAGCCTACACACGACGTCCACGTCCATCGCACGTCTCGTCGGTCCAGGCACCGGTCCGACGGCGGAGTGGCGAAGGCGCCGGGGACGGTTGGGGCCAAAGCGTCGGGTGTTTTTCAGACGAAGCGACCCTGAACACGTCACGAAACCACTACGGTTTGTAGAGGAACATGGTATATAACCGAACCGTTTTTTTTTGGGGGGGCTGGCTGGGTGCCCAGCAACCACAGTGGTCCAGGTGAGTTTTCGATAAACTGTGTGTTTCCTCATCCTTTGGAGGGGATCGTCGGCAACTCGGTTGGCTCACAAAACCCTTTTTGGGCATTGTAGCGCTCATGCCTTTGGTTCCGGCTTTGCAAATCAGATGGGTCTGCTCGGTCTGGATGGGTCTTCGGTTCCAGCGAGCGAAACAGCAAGCTCGGCTCGCACCGCGGCGCCGGCACTGTCAGGTGTCACAACACGTCTTGTGGGACCAGCTTTCACTGGCTGCGCCCGGACCCTAAGACATCCTAAGACCTGTAATATTGAGGCTTGGAGGCTCTGCCACATTCTGCCACAGAATTCACAGGGCTTCTGTCCGCCAACTCGATATATTGGAGTTAGTCAGGTCGTTAGATCCCAGAAAGCAGCGCTTTGCGGTGAATCTTTTGAGTTGTCCTTTGTGCTCTTGTTTGGTGGTCAACCAGCTGCCAATTGCACTGACATGGTTTGCATGCAATTGAACCCCTCTTTTCTGCACCATCCTGCAAAACATCAGAAGAAAATGATGCAACAGGCCTTGTACGAGTTATTTGGCTCCATTTGCTTTGACGTCATGTTTGCACTGACGGTGCCCATGTCCCTATGGTGGTTGGCCGGTACACTCAGCCTCATTTGCATAGTGCTCATCATCATTGAGAGAGGCTGTGAGGCTGTATGGGTGCCACCATTTTTGACATTTGCCCTTTGTGGCACGTGTGCTTCGGACATGATGTGGCTTGCAACCAACGCTGGCTTCGGAGTATTGGGCGCCCAAATTGAACGCTGGAGGATTGCGCCGGAACCTGAGCAGCCAAAAACAAGTCCAATGGAGAATATCAGAGCAAAACTCACGGGCTTTTGGTTGGACATGTGCATTTTCACAGGTGTTTGGTTTGCCGGAAACCTCTCCTTCAGCTACGACATCAGCTTCGTGCGTTCAGTGGTTGGATTTTTGCTCATGGTGAGTTTGCTGGATTTGGGTCTCTCACTGTGGCACCACGTACTGCACCTGCCATGCATGTACACATATCACAAAGTTCACCACTCAGTGCGCATCACGCAACCATGGACCAACGAGGTAGAACATCCAGTTGAGGCATTGGGAAATGCTACAGTCAAGTACGGCAGTCTTGTGTTGGTGTCGAATTGTGTGCAACTGAGCCCCAACGTGGCCTTTGCATACTTCATGTTCTCAACTTGGTATGGAGTCATGGTTCATTCTGGCTACAATCTGCCACCCTTTGATTGGATCTCGCAGACGCCAGCTTTGTGGTTCATCATCACTCCCCAGCAGCACCAGGCCCACCACTTGAATGGTGCAAAGAAACTTGGGGCTATCACGTCCATTTGGGACTCACTCTTCCAGAGAATCATCTCGATGTCCATACCCAAGCAGCCTTGCCTCCAGCCTTTGGCTGCCTCCAGCCGCCTGGGCAAAACTTGGCCGGTGGAAAGTCTTCGTGAGATCAGTGACGATCAACTCAGGGAATTGGTCCAGGCAGTCCGGACACATGGGATGATAGTGATTCCAAATCAATCCTGGAGCCTCAATGAGCAGGAGAAGTTCACCTCACGCTTGGGGGAACTCACGGCCACTGTTGTAGGCCAAGCTCCAGAATACTTTGAGGTTCATCCCAGGATTGTTCGGCTGTCGAATTTCCGTGCCGATGGCACGTGGAAGGGTCCAAACTATCAAGGTGCAGAGGTGTGGCATCAAGATGGTGATTACATGAGAATGTCGGAGCGCCACATCCTCACAGTGCTTTGCGCCGAGCAGATTCCAACCTCTGGAGGTGGCACAGGCTTTGTGGATCTCGTGGCCGCTGCTGCAGCCCTACCCGCCTCGCTGCGCGCGAAAGCTGAAGGCCTACGCTGCTTTAGTTCGGCGCGGCGAAATGCAGAGTACATGAAGAGAGACTTCACCGCAGAAGATGCCGAAAGATTTCCTGACCAATGGACGCCCGTGCTTCATCGACATCCTCGTGATGGGCGAGAATTACTTCTGATGGGTTCAGAGTTGTCAGTCCTTCAGGATCAAAAGCAGCCAGATCCAGAGACGACCAAGGCCCTGTTTCAACATGTGCTGTCTCCTCGTTGGATGTACTTCCATCAGTACAAACCGGGTGATGTCATCATTTGGGACAACTTGCAAACCCTTCACAAAGCGTTGCCCTTTATCAATGATGGATCTGACTCTCGTCTCCTTTGGCGTGCCCAAGCACGAGTGACAGAAGCCTTCCCTTGGTGATGCAGCACTAGGTGGCACAAGTGCAAGATAGGCTCGAGAATCGTTGCACCAGCCCAAGATGCCACGCAAAGCAAGTGTGAAGCCGGAGTTTTGTTGCAAAGATCGTATAGGTTTTTGGTCTGCTTAGGCTAAAGCCAAGTAGAGTGTGATCATCATGCTTGATCTTTTCTCGTACAGCCAGGTAGCGACATAGGAGCTGCACATAGTCGTGTGCCCAAATTCAATGTATAGTGCAGATGCAGCATTTGTTGTCGAAATACTTTTTTCTGCAAAGAACATCAGCGTTTGCAACTGCGTGGCTCGGCGAGATTGCTGTTTTTGATATTTGGACAGGTTGTGTAAACATGTTCATGTTTGTTTGAGAATTGTTGAGACGCGCGGGTGATGCTGGTGTGCCAGGGTATGACACCAACTATGACCAGCTTAGTTGGCACTCTTGACCCTTGATCATGGAGCGCACTCTCCCTTCTAACTTGAAGAAGTGCAAGGCTCCAAAAAGAACTGCAAAAAATGTTATGGTCTTATTCGTGATTGTGACTAGCCATCTCTGACACATTTTTGTGCGGATTTTTTTCTCAGAGCTGGCATGGTGGCATGGCTTGATGTTGATCCTTGTGTCTCATGAGGATGTGCTGCTTCTTCCAGGCAGAGGCACTGAAGCACAGGTAGTCTCTAAGATTTTGAGTCCTCACTTTTGCGCATGACGCATAGTTTTCACTACGGGACAACATTGGTTGCCCCAAAGTTGCGCACATTACCGAATTATGATCCCATTTGTTGGATTTTTTGTGTAAATTATATATAGATGTGCCGTTCAGTTTGCTGAAGAGCCTTGTTGGTGGCACTGGACTTGAATGAGCTAGCATCGTTATAAGGATACTGACTAGGGTGCCAGTGCTGTTGACAAGTTGTGATATCTTATATATAATAGTTTGACACTTTTTGGGACTTCGAGGAACAGTATCAGTTCAGTAAGGCACAACGCTCAAGGTTTTGCTGATTGGAATGTTTCTTCAGTTTTCTGTTGCCTTCATCCAGTGCCCTTTCATCTCCCAGATCCATCCATGACCCAACACAGGACCCAACACCCAACGGAGCGGGCTGAGCGCGCCAGGGTCACCAGGGCATCTTGCAGCAGGGGCTTTGCTTAGCACCTTCATGAGGCCATGAAAGCGACTGAGAAAACACAGGGGTTGATCGTTGGTGAGGCCATTGCATCGGCTTCGGGGGTGCTCCGAATAGAGAAGGTAGAGCTGCATCAAAGTGGAAGAGACATGTGTGGATTCTAGGCTGTTGATGGCTATGGTGTATATACTTTACTTTGATATCAGTGTGAATCTGTCATTAACATCCATCACACCCTCTGATTTAAACGGTAGGAAAAAGCCAAAGATGGGTTCATGGCTTGAATTGGCCTCAAGATGGCCAAATCTCTTCCTCTTCCTCCTCCCCCTGCTTATCCTGCTTATCCGGTGCACTTAAAACCTTACTATGAGGGCCCAAATGCCATTGTGGAAGGGCCTAAATGGCATGATGTAACAATCGGACGCAGAGAGGTGCAACGAACCTTACAGAGATCCCCTTCGCGCACCGCGCGATCGGATCGGACAGGTCTTCGTTTTCTATCTTCGGGGTGCCGAACCGAGTGCGACAGGCCGAAGCAGTCAGTGACATGCCGATTGAACCCTCTTGCCATTTCTGGCTGGTTGGATTTCAACGCATATCTTGCTTCAACATGATTCGAAGGCATTTTCTGCATCCAAACAGTGCCCAGGTTTCGGGTGGACACCGAGGTGCGTCCGGTTGGAACGATGTCCGAAGGCCAAGAGGTTGCGTTGTTCAACCGGAGACTCTTCATCATTGGGATTATGAGGCTCATCGACAGCATGAACGTGACCATGATCATGCCGTATGGAGTCCAGATGGTGGCCAGGTTTTTGAATCAGGACACCGCGAATCCTCAAGTGAGTACGGCCTTTGCATGGCTGGTGGGTCTTTACTCCTTCTTCGAGATCGTTTTCTCCCCCTTCTGGGGCGTGGTCGCCGACCGCTATGGGAGGAGGCCTTGCCTCCTGATTGGCATGGCCGGGACAGGTATTGCAACCATTCTGCTTAGCCTCGGACCGTCTTTGACCGCAGTCTTCCTGTTCCGTGCGATGGATGGCTTTTTCTGTGGAAACCAGGCCGTCTTAAGAACTTACTTGGGAGAACTGGTCGACAAGAGTAACGAAGCTCATGCCTTCAGTTTTCTGGTGCTGTTCTTTGTCCTGGGCTTCATTGTCGGGCCCCTTCTCGGTGCCCTGGCTTTCCCCGCACGGTGGGCACCCCAAGTGTTTGGCGGGACGCTCTTTGAGCAATATCCGGTCCTTTACCAAACCTTTTGTTTGGAGTTTTCACGGCCATTGTTTGCATCATCGGCTTTGTCTACTTGGAGGAGACGCTTCCCAAGAGCAAGCGCGAGGTGGAAGTGAATGAAGTGGATCCTGAGGCTAGCGAGGTCACCGATGGCCAGTTGGCCACGGAGGTGGGCCCGGAGACGGCTGGCCAGAAATCCTGCTATGCCCTGCCGGTGCTCCAAGTGATCGTCGCATTCTGTGGAATTGCGGGTGCTGTCGAGGCACAGAATACCTTGGTGGTGTTGCTGTGGCAATATCCGCAAGCCTTGGGTGGATTCGGGTTCAGCCCACAGCAGGTCTCCCTCGTCCAAATCTCCGGCGGGGTGGGCCCGATTCTGTGCCATTTGACTTTCGGCCAGCCTTTGGTCAAGAGGCTGGGTTTCTTGAAGGTCCTTGTGTTGGGCTTTGTGATCAACAGCCTCGCCTACAACCTTTACCCGGTCTACAGTCTTCTGGCCGATCCCAAGTATGGCCTGTGGAGATATGTCATTTTAGGCCTTGCCGAGTTCATAGGCATGACTGGGACCTTTATGCTGTTCTCTCCAGTCTTTGTCTTCCTGAACCGTGCCTCCATCGGCCTCAATCGCGCCACCGTCAACGGCTGGGCGAACTCCGGTCGTGCACTGAGCCGCGCGATCTCTCCGCTGGTCGCCTCGCAACTGCTGCATGTATCAGAGACTTGGCCACTTGGACGGCACATGCCCTTCTATGTCACCAGTGCCTGCTTGGCTTTCTCCTTGGCGATCTCATGGTCTGGGCTGTGTAAGCTGAACTAGAAGTCCAGCGGATTTGGAAGGTCGGCACGTTCCCCACCTTCTCCGCGACGCGGACGCCCATGCGACTAAGATCGTGTCCGCAGCAAAGCCGTGGTTTTGCGTTCATCTACTGTATGTTCATTTTCACATTTCACTTTGTGTTTGCGTTTAGTCTGTTGAGTGTGAAGTCGCAGTTTCGTGTGTACAGATCGTATAGAATTTGTAGAGCTTGTTTTGTGTAGGCGGTAGCATGAACAGAGTTTATGTTGTTCATGCAGCCGGGTAGCGACACGAGCTGCAAGTAGTCGTGTGCCCAAATTCAATGTAATTATACTGCAGATGCAGCATTTACTGTCCAAAGCAGAGTTGTGTTGCAAATGAGGCAGCCCAACAATAATACAACAGCAGCTTCATCAACAGTTGAATCAGCGGCGTGATTGTGCTGTGTTTGACAGGAACCGTTTAACGGGTGTTCATGGTTGTTCGGGATATTATGTTCTATAGAAATGCTGGATGATGCTGCTGTGAATGACCTTCTCATGGGGCACAGCAAAGGCACGCTCCCTTCCAAGCTTGAAGAAGTGCAAAGGCCCCAAACAGAACTGCGCACTCTTGCTGTGGCTGAAGCGTTTGGACCTTGGACACCGCGGGCCTTCCCAAAGTTCTACCTCGTTCTTCGTCTCACCCAAACAGCTAGTCTTGGTACTTGCTAGGTCCTGCTAGGTCCTCCTACCTCCATCTATACAGTAGGTCCAAAAACAACGAGGTCTTCCAAAAGAAAGAGTGGAGTAAGTACTCGGACGTTTTTTTTGTCCTGACATGTTGTTCAAAATCCGAAAAGACTTGAGAGACATGAGGCACCATCGCCACCACCCCAGACGATGGTGGCGATGGTGCCTCACGTGGCGATGGTGCCAAGCAAGCTGAACGGATGTGAGGCTTCAGAAAGGCTCTTTACAGGGTGGAGCTGCATCTCTTATGATATACCGTTTGTATATATATATATACGTATATATAATTATGAAACGCCTATTTAATTAAGTAGGTCCAATGATTGATTCGCAAGCACGCAATTCAGGTGCCCAGTTGGAGAGGCTGTCCGGCCATCGTGGGTACAGTTCTCAGCGGAAAGGCTACCATGTGTGTTCCTGGAGTGTTAAACACGAGTTGGGATAAGCTTCGTTTGACTCTGGCAAATTCGAGACACCTTGTTAGGCCTTGTCATGTTTCATTTCATGCGCAGAGTAAATAACATGTGCAGCTTTGTCAAAAACGTGAAGAAAAACGCTTCCCGGGGACTGCAGGTGAGCTCCGGAGCTGGAAACAGGATGTGCATGGTCTTGGTTCGAGGCCTGGATTGCCACGCATGTGGCCATGAACTCAAAGTTGAAAGGAGACTTCAATGGATTCTTTATCTTTTAAATGTCACTATATTTAACTCCCAATTCTACAATTTCTACAAGTGCTGTTGGAATCTTTCGGACAGTTGTTGGCAGGCAAGTTCAAGTTCCCCAACATAAATCCAAATGAATTCCAATGTGTTTTTCATGCGAGACTGTTGGCTGATGAGTTGATGAAACATTGAAAGGATCTTAATGAGAGAACAACTTCATGATGAAATCACCGGTGCGTACACGATCCCAACAACAGACACGGGCACCATTGCCATGACTGAGGAGCTACAGGCATGTACAAAGCTTTCACATAGCATCAATAGGCACACATGTCACATGGATACGATACTCCCAAAGTTCCAACTTCATTGGCTTCGAGCCATTATTGTATAATTATACCTTGAGGTTTGCTTTTCGATAACGAGGCTGTGAACCTAGTGCTGCTTGTGTTAGGACTTTGCACAGGTGATATGTTTATGTAGAACCTGGCAGATCAACACAATTGCCAATGCAAGCCAAGAATAACACGTGGAAGGCAAGAATCATGAAATCAAGGACGGCTTGCTGCTGCTTGCGCCCGTGTTCTTGTCGCCCATTCGCATAAACATATTAATGTTCAAATCGTACGATAGGCCCGTCAACATGACCAAGGCTTCCTGCAGTCAGTAGGTTGGTACTGTAGGTCCCGTGACACCTGACACCTGTCGACCTTTGTTCTTGTTTGGCACTTTGATTATGGTTCTACCCACAGTCGGGGTTGGCGAATAAACACCCCTTGACCTCCAAGAAGCTATTGGTAGCCCCTGTGCGGGCCCTAGTAACGTAT